CCCACGCCACTCGAGCACGCGTATCCGCAGCGCCACGCGAGACCAGTGAGTCACTTTGGCCATGCGATACAGGTTGCGCCAGCGGCGCAGGTGCCACACCCTATGGGCACGACTTTTGTCTTCAAACCTCCTACCCAAATCGGTGGCATCTCGACAAACATCGACCACGACCACACGTGCTACGATTCTATGCAGAAGCAACTCGAAGAACTGCGACACACTGAGCAGACAGAGTACGATTTCCAGGACAGGTCACGCAACGGATTCACTTTGCCGCCATCCACACATCAGTTCATACCTCACACCGACTTGACCGAGATCACCTTGAAAGCATGACCGACCACCGGCTCCACCAGCATACCAACCGATTCATCCATCGCCCAAGAGTTGTGAAATGCTCTCGCCCTGCTCGCCCCCCGCGATCGCCGCCGCCGCCTCGCCGCCGACGCCAGACCAAGAGACAGAGCAATTGCACGGTGAATGCCTTGATGTGCGGGTTCGTTTGGCTGCGCAACATGGGCAGCAAAATGCTGCGATTGCTGTCGGCATCCTGCGTTCATTACGTGATGGCGGATTCCCTAATATCGGCTCAGCCTGTGACGGGATGCCCGCGAGCCGTCCAGTACATAATATTGCGACAACTGATATGGCAGTGGAAGAACCACATTTCCAGACAGTCATTCCGAGTCCTTCGGAAGAGCCCGCTGCGGAGCCTGCCGCCGACCCAGTCGGAGGGGTCATTGCGCCGGCCTGGCCAGAACCGATGGAAGATGGATCCGAGGGCGCTGAGGGCAAGGGCGCAGTCGCTGCTCGCGCGCCTGATGCTCATCATCTTCCTCCCCTCCCGCGCCGCCCGCGCGGGGGAACGCGGCGGCCGCCGTCTCCGATGGGCGCCTTCTGCGCGACGGCGCTCGCGCGCAGCCCTGGCGGGGCCCTCCCTCGGCGCCGCCGAGGCGGGGGGGCGGCGGCCGCGACGGGGAGTCGAGGCTCGCCGATGCCCCGACTATCTCCACAACGACGCCATCATGGCGTAGCCAAGTACAAGATGGACAAGGGACGGAGCGCAGGACGTCAAGCGGTTATTCGACGCAGAAGAACTACCAGCGCAGTCAATATCAAGACCGCTGGAATCATGCTCATCACTATGATGGCCCTGAGCACGGTGGAAAATTGGAATCTAATCGGATGTGGCAATGGTGGTCGTCGGAGGACTACGGCGCCGTGCGCGACGGCAATGGAAATTGCACGTCGCGTTTTTCGAGGCGAAGAAACACAGTGCCGGCGGGGGCTGGGCCGCCGCGGCACTGCTTGCAGAAGGAGGACAGGGCACAGCACCTGCACAAGAACTTCAACGTTCTCGTCTGAGCCTGGGCAAATATTGGCGGGGTGGCCCGCTCCGACCATGCCTGAGGGAGGTCCCGAGGGATCATCGGCGCCCCTGCCCTGGCGCTGCACAAGGGGCAGGCGCTGGGGGGGGGGCATTGCGCCCCGCAGGGTGCCGGGAAGCCGCGGTGCTGCCTGGGCTGGGATCGACGTGTGCGGCCGACGCGGTCCGCCGCGGAGGGATTTGTCAGTGGTCTCTCCCTGCTCGCCCTCTGTGCTCGCCGCCGCCCCGCCGCCGACGCTGGCTCAAGCTGAAGCTGCGAAGTCGTGCGCGTCCCGCGCGCGCGAGGGCAAGGGGGAGTTGGATCGTTTCGTCGTTGTTTCGCCTCCTCACCCCTTCACTCCTACATGTCAGCTTAACGGGCTGTTGAATACTCCGCAGCCCATCTGATAGACCCATCGTGAGTGATGAAACCATATTTCACCATCGCCGTTTCGCCATGTTCCTCTGGCGAGTGGCCCCAAGCCGAAAGCGCCAATTCCTGCAACATGTGTTGATCCAGCAATCCCAACAGACAAACCACCGCAACATGAAGTAACCGACCCTTCGGGCAAGCTCGAGACCACCACGGCATTAGCAACAGCTCGTGCGCCGCAAGGGACCTCAGAACCGCGCGCAGACGAGGGCGACGGCGACCAGGAAAGCAGCGGCGATGACTACAGATACGTCTCCAAGCCCTTCACGCTCTCATCGCTACCTCAGAGCCTAGGTCACGACAAGCACTGCCCACCAGGATGGAAGGCGCACTTAGCTAAGGACGACGACAGCGACGACGACGGCGACAAGGAGAGCTGGCACTACGCGGTCTATCACAGGGAGAGCTACAGTTGTTACTTATACCATTTCCCGAACGACCATTTGCCATTGGACGGATGGCACAGGTACCTCAACAAGTTCAATCGCGAGTGCTCCGCCAACAAGTTTTATTCGCGCGAATTTCCGCACCCGCCGCTCACACCAGACGCAAATTCTACGCCATTAGCGTCCTCCCAGCTACCGCCTGAGGAGTTTATACTTCGCGTTCAAGGACGCCGGTCGCGCGGCCAGACACCTCCCACCAGCGCGCCCACGAATCAACGAAGCACTAAGATATCAGCTTGGTTTAGCGGTCCAGTACTTTGCACTGCACTAGAGGAAACATGCACACTCCAGCAGTCCTACAAGCCAACGAACTCTTCCAGACCAGGCACCGCGTGCCCACAACAACGCTGAACGACTTGGCCACCCACGCCGTCGTCGCAGCATCAAAATGTTTCCTTTCTTGCCCTGACGACGACAACGACACCACAGATGACGGGGGTCAGACTTCACGACTCAGCACGGCTTCTACATACCATTTGCAGTCAGAGCGACATGCCTTACATAACCAAAGGGGCCATGGATTGCTGTCTTCCCTCATCCACGTCGAGCTCGACCACCAATCATATTTCATACCACTACCCACACCACAAGACACCCAAACTATTCGACCGACAGTCCCACCTACGCACATTTAACAACCAGCAAGCAGCACCGCACCAACAGCACAGCACAGCAATCTCAACAGAACGATACGAAGTCCGATGCACCCACCACCACCACACTTCAAGACCCCAGTGATCTGCGCACCACCCAAACCAGCAGCCGCACAACACTGGCTTGTCGACACACCACCGCCAGAGCGAACACCACTGACCTGTGTTACCATGCAAGTATACTTCCAGCCAAACACACGCCATGCAAGATGGACAGACTGGCTCTACACCTGTAGTCCAATACGCTGTGGACATTGAAACAGTGCACGCCGAGGACAGCAAGGGCCAGCGATTCCTACAGCACTTGGACACAATTCGAAACCACCAACAGCATGATCAACAACATGTTGAAGAAATCCGAAGACGCAATGCACAGATAAGGGAATCACAACAGCGCCACGAATTCACTACAGCACTGGCAGCACCGACTATGCCCAAGCCAGAGCTCCCTGCACCTGAACACAAGGGTTCCACCTACACCTAAACCGACATTTCTTACATACCGTGCAGATGGTGGAGATGACTGGGGCTAATACGCGACCCCACAAGTCGCACATCAGCCACTTCCAGAACATAAAGTACCGCCAAATCAAAGGTTGTGGAGCATACGGGGGCTAGTCCACGACCTCACAGCTACCGCATCAGCGACTTCCGGATCACCAATTTACCCCAGTACAAGGATTACTGATCAGCCACCATTGTACTCGCACAGTTTGCTTGCACTCTGCGTTTGTCTCCTTTGGCTTTCGCCCCTTCAGCTGTTGGGGTCCACTTGCTTTCCTCCACTTCCTATCTCCACTTCCTATGCTTAGTTACGCCATTCTCGTGCCAGTCGACTTCCTAATCGCGTCACGTATCTAACCGGTTCTCACGCGCAACACGTGCGATCCTTTCCTGGCCCGTCCCGCTGTCGTTCGCCCCTCCTCTCTCCTCCTTCATTTCCCGCTCAGCTGGGCCGTCGGCCTCTCCCCCCCCTTCGGGTGCAGTTCCTTGCGGGAGGTGTGGGGGGGTAGGGGGGGCCTGGTGCCCGCGTGCGGATACTAGGCGCACGTGCCTCGTTGCGGCTCCGGCTCGGCACTGCACCTGTTCCTTCTTCTTCCTTCTGGGTCGTTGCTGTTTGCTGGCGGGCCGTCCTTGTTCGTTCCTCCTTGTCTCCTTGTTGCCACTTCTCTGCCTGCGCTCTCATGGCTACCGGTCTCTCACGACTTTCACCCGCACTGCAACAAGAGACTTATCAGCATGATTTGGTTGGGGATGACCTTGATTCGGGGAAGCTGGGGGGAACTGCAGACCGTGGCAACTTTCAAGTGTTTGCTTGCACGCATCGGTGCAGCACTTGCTCAGTACAAAGGCATTCAGTGGCACCGGCATGCCTTTAAGCCAGGCGCGCTGCAGCATACTATGCTTAGGGCGCAGCGCAGGTCGCTACAATTCAGCCCCATACTTTAAGCCCGCTCACAGTCCCAGCCTCTCGCACCAGCCTGTTTGACCTTAAGAATGTCAGTATAGTGCATTACACGAGCAACACATCGCAGTAGACATTGCCCAGCCGCCCAACTGCACTGCCAGAATTCAGGAGCATTTCCTCCACTACTACGCCAATCGCCAGCATCGCTACCTCTGTGACCATGGAAGTGGATGCATGGGCGGGGCGGGAAATTATCGGAGCCACACTCAGCGCCATCTTCCTAGTAGCAGTGCCCTTCTTACTTTACTTCAGTTCGCTTTTTGTTGCCACTTTGGCACGTCGGTGGGGGAAGAGTCCCATTCTTCTTTCCACTGTGGACTCCCGACAGCAGCACACCCGGAATGATTTCTTACACTTGCTGCTTGTATTATCCTCTCCACCTCTGTCTGCAGCATTTATCATAGCAGTTGCAACTCGGAAACTTATTTGTTTCTCCTATGTTGTGCAGGTAGGCTCCAGTCCAGTTACTAACAGGCCAGCCTACAGGAGCCAGCCTGAGCATGGTTTACCGATCATTTGCTTTTGACGTCACCTATAATATTACCTCTGATTGTTGCGATTCACCACGCAGGCTCCGGCAGGCAAGAGCATTGATATGGGGGGGCGATTGGGAGGTGCGGGGATGGGAGTGGAGGAGCCTCATTATATTTGGTTGCCTGGCGCTACTAGAGGATACATAGTCCTCCGGGCAACTCCTGCTCAACAACGTGCAGGCTAGCCTCCTACCGCCGACCGACCTCTGTTGCACGCGTTCTTCGTTTTGATGATGGTTACACACACACACACTCTCCGCAGTCTTCCATTTCAATCGCCAGGTAGACCGCATCCTACTTAGGCCAGCCAGCACAGCCTGTGCCAGCTTTAACTCACCCAGCAGCGCCGCCTGTTCTATTACTCTAGAGGTTTGACTTGACTAATTATGGCGGTTTGCGGGGATGGGGATCATTACGACTTGGGAGAAGAGGACCCGCGGCTTAGCCACCCGTGAGGCGGAACCCACTAGAAACCAGCAAGATTACCTTGCAGGCCAGTTTAGGTCATCATATTGGTACTGTGCACGGGTAGTTCGTTCCCTTTCGTTCGATCTCAGGTTATTTGAGGGAGTTTCTGTGGAACTCACGTCATCCTCACCCCCGGCGCGAAGAGCACGAGTCCAGAGCGGCCTCCGGTACCGTTTCCGGACGGATCCGCTGGATCCGGTGACGAATCCCAAACCGGCGCCCTCGCTTGAGACATCCTCGCAAAACCGGCCCCGGGGGAGGTGCCCAGAGGAGCCCAGAGCGGCCTCCGGCACCGTTTCCGGACAGATCCGGTGGATCCGCTGGATCCGGTGACGAATCCCAAACCGGCGCCCTCGCTTGAGACATCCTCGCAAAACCGGCCCCGGGGGAGGTGCCCAGAGGAGCCCAGAGCGGCCTCCGGCACCGTTTCCGGACAGATCCGCTGGATCCGCTGGATCCGCTGGATCCGGTGACGAATCCCAAACCGGCGCCCTCGCTTGAGACATCCTCACAAAACCGGCCCCGGGGGAGGTGCCCAGAGGAGCCCAGAGCGGCCTCCGGCACCGTTTCCGGACAGATCCGCTGGATCCGGTGACGAATCCCAAACCGGCGCCCTCGCTTGAGACATCCTCACAAAACCGGCCCCGGGGGAGGTGCCCAGAGGAGCCCAGAGCGGCCTCCGGCACCGTTTCCGGACGGATCCGGTGGATCCGCCCGACGAATCCCAAACCGGCGCCCTCGCTTGAGACATCCTCACAAAACCGGCCCCGGGGGAGGTGCCCAGAGGAGCCCAGAGCGGCCTCCGGCACCGTTTCCGGACAGATCCGGTGGATCCGCTGGATCCGGTGACGAATCCCAAACCGGCGCCCTCGCTTGAGACATCCTCACAAAACCGGCCCCGGGGGAGGTGCCCAGAGGAGCCCAGAGCGGCCTCCGGCACCGTTTCCGGACAGATCCGCTGGATCCGGTGACGAATCCCAAACCGGCGCCCTCGCTTGAGACATCCTCACAAACCGGCCCTGGGGGAGGTGCCCAGAGGAGCCCAGAGCGGCCTCCAGCACCGTTTCCGGACATGAATCCCAAACCGGCGCCCTCGCTTGAGACATCCTCACAAAACCGGCCCCGGGGGAGGTGCCCAGAGGAGCCCAGAGCGGCCTCCGGCACCGTTTCCGGACAGATCCGGTGGATCCGGTGACGAATCCCAAACCGGCGCCCTCGCTTGAGACATCCTCACAAAACCGGCCCCGGGGGAGGTGCCCAGAGGAGCCCAGAGCGGCCTCCGGCACCGTTTCCGGACAGATCCGGTGGATCCGCCGACGAATCCCAAACCGGCGCCCTCGCTTGAGACATCCTCACAAAACCGGCCCCGGGGGAGGTGCCCAGAGGAGCCCAGAGCGGCCTCCGGCACCGTTTCCGGACAGATCCGGTGGATCCGCCGACGAATCCCAAACCGGCGCCCTCGCTTGAGACATCCTCACAAAACCGGCCCCGGGGGAGGTGCCCAGAGGAGCCCAGAGCGGCCTCCGGCACCGTTTCCGGACAGATCCGCTGGATCCGCCGACGAATCCCAAACCGGCGCCCTCGCTTGAGACATCCTCACAAAACCGGCCCCGGGGGAGGTGCCCAGAGGAGCCCAGAGCGGCCTCCGGCACCGTTTCCGGACAGATCCGCCGGTGGATCCGCCGACGAATCCCAAACCGGCGCCCTCGCTTGAGACATCCTCACAAAACCGGCCCCGGGGGAGGTGCCCAGAGGAGCCCAGAGCGGCCTCCGGCACCGTTTCCGGACAGATCCGGTGGATCCGCCCGACGAATCCCAAACCGGCGCCCTCGCTTGAGACATCCTCACAAAACCGGCCCCGGGGGAGGTGCCCAGAGGAGCCCAGAGCGGCCTCCGGCACCGTTTCCGGACAGATCCGGTGGATCCGCCGACGAATCCCAAACCGGCGCCCTCGCTTGAGACATCCTCACAAAACCGGCCCCGGGGGAGGTGCCTGAAGGCCCTCGGCCTTACTAATTGTTAGCAGCACATGTAAGTAGGTTATAAGTAAGTTGCAACTAGGTTGCAAGTAAGTTATAACCATTAGTAATGTTACTAAGTCGGCTAACTCGGGCGGTGCATTTGGAGGTAGATAGCTTGAGTTAGCGAAGTTGCTAACTTCGCTAACTTTTACATGCTTACGTGAAAACAGAGCTGCTGCATCGGGTTTTCCTTGGATGTTGCCTCCAGAAACGCATGCATGTGTTTGGATTTTCGGGATCACGCATATCGGAAATCATGATCCAGACTTGCGTGCGAACGCATTCAGAATATTGTATCGAGCGTTACAAGAATGTTGTGCGTTGCAAATGCAACATATCATTTCGAATTCGCAACCCTCTGTTGCACATGTTTTTGAATGTCACTAGAGTTTGGGCTCCAGCCGTTTGGGCGAGGATTGCTGCTGGCGCTTGTGGCGTCCTCCTGCACGCGGCGTGATGAACGCCTCCCGTGAACAGCAGATCGCGGAGGTCCGCCCCAAGATGATGGCCATCAAGGACATGTACTTGCATCCTGATGCAGCGGTGGTCTCATTACTTGAAGACGTATGCAGCATTGCAAGAGGCATAGACTGCCTGAGGGTAGAAAAAATACACTCGAAGTATATGATGGTGTGCACAGAGAATCGTTACGGAGATGGAATCATTCCGAGCGAGGTTATGGATTTGATTTCCAAGATCTTCAAAAATGGATTCAAGAACTCAGCCCTCCAGAATCCAGCTTGCATGGAACTTCCACCAGTGGGCACGCCTGAGTACAATGCAATCAAGAACTTCAATTTCAAAATAATGGAGGACTCAGCGGGCCAGCTGCCGCAGTATGATTGCGATGCAAAGTTCGCATCCTATACGTGCGGCCACACATCCATGGGTTTGCGTTGCATCAACGCAGGGGTTCCAGTACCCACGGTCATGCCAGAGCGTTTCGACAGAATCTCGCACCAAGGGAAATTGTCACTGACGAGGTTACGGGAGGTTCAACCAGACTACGCTAAGGCGTGTGACGAAGGAATTGAGTGGAAGGTCTTTCGGTACGAGTTCGTGAAGGAGTTCCCGTGGATTAGTAATCTTGCTCAGGAGGCTGGCAATGCAGGCCAACAAATTGCCAGATGCGAATCTCGCATGAGTCTCATGTACAAGATCGCAGCAATTGCCAACCGACACCACACGGGTGGCACCATGATCGATTGGGATAGTGTGATCCGCGAGGCGACTCGCGCAGGCTCTCTCTTTCCTGGGGAGATCGATGGCTTAGTAAAATATGTGAAGGAGTTGTCTGGCGGCCTCGGCAACCCGATCTTTCTGAACGAGCTTCGCGACTTCTCGCGGCAGCTGACCTCCCAGTGCGTGGTCACGGGTTCAATGGCGAAGTCTCTCGCCGAGGTGCAGATCAAGCATGAGGGGGCCGCTGCGACATTCAAGCTCGCATGCATGAAGGCGATGACATGTGCGACGGGTAAGTTCGCGAGGGATGGCCATCAGATGCTTTTGAAGCCAGGCGACGTGACCGCCTTGTCGAGCGATAAGAAGTCTACGATTGTAATGGTGGCCGATGAATTTCTTCAGAAAGTGCGACAGATCGCATGCGGTGAGGGCATCACGGCAGACACGGTCGCCTACGGCACCATCGTGGGATTGACTGACGTTCGCGTAGTTCATTTCGTGTTCAACAAGCCCGATGAGCGCTTAGGCACTTGCAAGACGCTGAATGACATCGGGGTCAGCTTCACCACTGCGTTGGCAACGCACGTTGGCAAAGCAGTTGCTAGCCCATGGAAGCAGATCGGTCGCGAGGGCGCATCCAAAGCCGTGACAGGGCAGGCGCGTAGCTCAGATGTGAAAGAGTACACCGCTTCGGGCAAGTGGTCGAACCAAGTGGACAAGCTCAGTGACAAGGGGTTTGAGGTTGGCGCCAAAGTCGCCTTGGCGAGCGACACCTTGGGTGAGAACATTTACGAGCTGATCTCCATCGACGCTGCGACTGGCGTGAAGTTGAAGCTTCAGGCCACGGGCAGTGCGACATGCCACCCCATCGACGACTTCTTACGTGGCAAGTTCGTCGTGTCCACGATTATGAAGGACAGTCTTGCGACCTCGTCGCAATGCATGTGGAATGCATATACACCCCCACACCTTTGAATTCTCGTTCGTCGTTCCCTCATCTCATTTGGCTCTGCGTCGTCATGTCTCATCTTTTTTTTTCCCGCTGCTCCCCCATAGAGGAAACGATCGACAAGTTCGCTGATCATGGCCCCCTCAAGTCTGTCGATTACCAGTGGGGTATCGAGGAGGCCAAAATCAGGCTGGCCTTGGATGATGTATACAGCCAGAACGGCAACTGTCTCAAGTACTTGAGTGGCGTGATTACGCCTGTTAAGCTTCGTGCTCTCACCGTAACGCGTTCGTTTGAGGCTGAAGAGCTGGTGCTTGTCCCACTCTCTTCGGCAATCTACTTGAAGAAGCAGACTGATATAGTTCAGTGTGGGCATGTGTTCATGAAGACATACAAGGACCCCAAGGGATTGACGTTCAATATCGCGTTGGCCCCCAGTGGTGGCATCAAGATGCCTAAGGCTGAGACGAACACTGGCGTTGGAGGGCTGAAGCAGGCACCGTCTTCGCTCGTCATCCCCTTCTGGCTCGTGCAGGATTCAGGTGAGCACGGCACCCCCAACATG